CAGGCTATTTTAGAGATAAACTGAAAAGTTTTGGTGTAGACCTGCTCCCTTGAATGTAGTCAGTCACATTTCTCATTCTTAGCAGGAGCCAATTAGTGTTCAGGGCAAGCACTGGTGTGTACCACAGAGCAACCTCTTATCAGGGGCCTCTACTTCCCATCTTTGTTTCATCCGGCAGACATTTTTTTTTTCAAATGTTTGGGGTTTTTTTTGTTTGTTTTTGGTGGTACTGGGGTTTGATCTCAGGGCTTCACACTTGCATAGCAGGCACTCTACCACTTGAGCCACACTTCCAGTCCATTTTGCTCTGATTCTTTCGGAGATGGGGTTTTGCAAACTATTTGCCCAGGGTGATCTTGAACTGCAATCCTTCTGAGCTCAACCTCCCAAGTAGCTAGAACAGGTGAGCCACCAGTGCCCAATTGAGATCCTGAATTCTCCATCCACATGTCAGTTAGGACTGTTGAACTTACCTCATATATCCTCTGTGAGGCTTAAACGCTGCAAATGCTCAGGCCAGAGCCTGGGACATATTAACTGACAAATAAAGGTTAGCTGTCATTATCTCATAATACCAGAGAATTCTTCCCAACTTCTCACCTGCCCAATTCCATCTTGGGTAATTATTTCCCATTTTTAGGTTCCCTGATCCCTCCAAGGGATCCATGGGACAGTCCCTGTTACAACCTGGGGTAGAATTCCCGGGCATGTTGTGCCTGCTGGTGGCAAAAGGGAAGAGAGCAGACAGGAGCCGTAGATTCTCCTGGAGAGGGTGGTGATGAAACCTGACTGGAATGATGCCCCAGAGGACAAGCCAGAGCTCACTATGTACTTGGTACACAGTGTTCAACGAAGAACTTTTCCATGCGTCTGGCTTGACGAGGAGAGGGGAAGCAAAGAAATGAACTAATGAGCTTGGGGAGCTTCTAGACCTGCATATTGGGGACCATTCTTCCTTTCCAGTTGGGTTGCATTATCTGTTGAGATAACATAGAAACTAATCCAAGAGGAAACCGCGCTTTGCTGAGATGCAGTGTGTACAGGCCTTAGAATTTGGGCTCTGGGGTAGGAAGGAGACCTAGCAGACCAAGGTGCAAAAGACTTTGGTTAGCACACAGGAAGAGTGGTGACCACTCAGAGGGTGAGCCTAGCACCTACCACCAACCCCTCACAACTGGGCATTTAAAATGGCAAGTTTACTTAGCTTATTCAGGTAAAGTTTTTGTTCCTCCAGTGACTGAATTTACAAAATGGAGTAGACAATCAGCACCTTAAATTATTCGTAGAAATAATTAGGATGTAAAGCTTACAAGAAGCAGGGAAGGTTTTGACCAAAAGTGCTACCTCAAAAGGCAACACTGGCATTCTTTTTCAGACTACAGCCATAATATACTCAACTTTCTTCAAATAATAAAGTTTAGAGGGGGTAAAAAAGGTGGTGGGGAGTGCAGTGCAGATATTCTCTCTGCTTCCTGGCTGCCATATATGAGCTGCTCTGCTCCACCCCGCCCTCTGTCATGATGGATGGAAACCACTTGGGCAACCATGCACAATGAAGTATTGCACAAGAGCCATGACCCCCCTCATGCTAAAGAACTTCATAGAATAAATTCGATATGTATTAGTTAACTGCAGATCTGAAATTTAGGATAAAATTTAGTATAAATTTGGCATGATTTTTGAGAAAAGGTCTTGAACAAGACTGTCCACAGAAACAGCCATGGCTATCTCCTGGAGAGGATCTGAATGTCTTGCTACTCAGGAATCTGAGGAGCTGGTCCTTGGTCAACGGGACATTATCATCAAACATCTACACAGAAGTCTTTTGGGACTTCTCTATTTCCATGAGATTCTGAAATTCCTTCCAGACTTTTGGTCTTCTGGGAAGATTCCCTTGTTTTCTTACCAGTCATTTGGGTGTGAAAGAAAGTCTTCAAGGACGCTGCTCAGTTTGGAAATCTTCTCTCTCCAGAGCTAGTTTCAAAATCTGATGGATTCATTTCAAAAATAAAACATGCTTCTCCTTTAAAAAAAAAAAAAGTGGTGGGAAAAAAATGAAGGACCAAGCTGACCTCCAAGGGAAAGCAAAGGCAATTTCAGACAAAAAGGAGTCAGTCGCTGAGACTCAGTCTCAGCCCACAAAGTTTTGCCCACAGGGGCAAATTACAAGGGTAAATTCTTTGGGTGACAATGGACATTTACAAAGCTAAATATTTGTAGTTACCTCCATCTTAAATTTTTTGGTCTCCAACTCTTTTGACACTTACCCAATACTGTATGTATGATCTCTTGATTTGTTTTGCACCGTTTTCAAACTCTTGAAATACGTAACTTTTAAATATGCCCACAAAGACTCAGGTCTTTGAGGTAAATGAGTTTATCCTGTGCCTGGTCCACATGCCTGACTAGGAGGGTCATATAGTTCTCAATGAATCTGATATAGCTTTTAACTCCCATATTTGGGGGGAATGCCCTTGGGATATGAATTCTGTAAATGAACACTCAACATTGTTTCCAGTGAAAATCTAATGGCTGACAGCCCAGCTAGGATAAACACATTCTTTTTACTTTTGCAGGTTTGCATTCTAATGACAACGGATTGCTTAGATTTACAGAACAAGCATGGCTTTCTTTTTATAGCGTGTTATAAGTGTTTTAGAAACAGTAAGTGAAAATTCTTTGAGTTTTATGTGCATGCTATGCAAAGCCCTGGGTGACCTAGTCTACTGATTGTAGTTGCAAAGCTGAATAAAGACTCCGAGGAATAAGCTCTTGGCACCCATCCCTCCCCCTACATCTAGAGGCACTTAAACCTGAGCTGCGGTCCTACTTCACCGTCCACTCTGTCAGGCTGTAAAGCAAATTAAAATTCGGGGCTTCTGAGCGAAGATGGCCCATAAGAAGAGGGGAGGATCCTCAGGCAGCGAAGCGACCCCAGGGAGTGGTTTCACCTCACTTCCGCAGACTTCCCTTTCTAAGCGTAGCAGAAGCGCATTTGCACGTGGGCAGGGCCTTGTGCCCTAAAACCTGAACACGTGAACTGGAGACATTCGGAGCGAGGGCACAGACCACGGAGCGCTGAGTGCCAGCAGCAGGGTGTGAGCGCCTGTATAGGTGTACGTGAGATCTGCTCCGGAATGGCTGGCAGCAGGGCCCGGCCCGGAGCGGCCGCCAGGTCAAGGACAAGCAGACGGCTTTGTTCCCTGAATGTGAATGCCGGTGCCTAACCGGAGGCAAAAAAAAAAGCAGCGTCCCGCGGCGGGCGCCCTTCATCTGCTTGGCATTTTGGGCAGCGCTCGAAATTCACAATCAGGCTCCCCGGCCCCAGCCGCCACCAAGTCTCAGTGCGCACGGGAGGAGCCAGCTTCGTCGCCTTGGAAGGCAGCTCTGGGGGAGGCCGCAGCGCGGGCCCCGCCGCGTCTCTCCGCCAACGCGGGCGGCCCCACGCGCCCGCCACTCGGCCGCGCCGCCAGCTCCACATTCCATTTAAAAATAACACCCACGTGCGCTGGTAAACAAGCGCGCGCGGCACCCGAGCCGCGCGGCCAAGGCGGGCCTGTGCGGCGCGCGCCCGCCCTCCTCCCGCACGTGTCAGCCGGCTCCGCCCACACAGCTCCAGCGCGGCTCAGGCCCCGCCCCCTCGGTGGACCGCGCCCCGCCTCCAACCCCGAGCTTGCCGCTCCGGGCCCTAGTGTCCGCTGTTCTGCTAGGCGCACCCCGCAGAGCGCTAAGTTTCCTCCCCGACGCCTGCTCTCCGTGGTGGAACCCGCCGCCCCAGGTCCGCTCTCAGCCTCCCCTCCCTTGTCCTCTCACATCCCGCTTTTTCGTCCTCCCGGCGTCAGCGCGCGAAGAACTGCCTTGTGGAGCGCCCTCTTTCTCTCTTCTCCCTCCCCTCCTTCCATCGAATTTTACTCGATTGTTTATTATTTGGTTGGGGGCGGGGGCGGGGGGGGCGTCTGGGGCCTGGAGACTGGTGGCTGCGGCCAGTCAGCGAGCGGCGTGGCTTGACGAGTAAGCGGCGCAGCGAATGGCGACGCGGCGCAGAGCTCTAGGGTCACGCGCGTGTGGAGACAATGACATCATCTGTTTGTACGCGTCGAACTAGCTTGGTGCAGGGGCGGGGCCTGGCGTCACTTGAGTGACGGGCCTTGCGCAAAGCCCGGAGCCCGGAGTCGGCAGGGTAGGCGGACACCCGCCTATACTCCACGGCTGGACCTTTTTGTGTATCGGGTTGTTGTGGAGCCTACTTCTACTTAAAATGTCTTTAGCGACTTAGAAGAATTTTATTTTTTTAAAAAAATATCTTTATGAGCCAAAGTGGATGGACTTTTGGTGTGCACGTCGCATGTGGTCCATTTTGAAAGCACAAATGAATCGCTTGGGGACACGAATGGGATAAGAACTCGAGAAAAGACTCTTTTAAACCTAAAGGCACCTCTTTTAAAAGCCAGGCATGCAGTTAGCTGTTTTGCTGTCATTTCAAATGAGAATAAAATTGCTCCCCACTTTCAGTTGTTAGGAACCTGCTCTTGCATTTCGGACTAGGGAAAAATGCGCTTTTCTAGTTACACTTCTCCCCGGTTTGGCATGAAATCCATGAAAAGTCAAACGACTTTGGTCCAACGTTCCAGGCAAGGGACTCAGTGCACACCTTTTGGTGCCTGATCCAATCTGAGGGCATCAGTGTATCGAAGTCCTGCAGGCACCAATATCTTCGCGGGTCAGTGTTTCCACGCCGAGGTAACCCTTGCCATCTGCGGTCAGCATCTTATCTCGGGTGTTACCAGGTGTCGGGTTTTAATGAGGGATCGGGTATCAGGGCGGGCCCAGAGCGCGACGGGCGGCCGCGCAGGCCTGGGACTCCGGGTCCCAGGCACCCGTCCCGAGTAGGGGAGGCCAGGAGACTGCACTTCGTGAAGTGTTCGGGGCTTTGCGCTCCTCCCTGTTTCCTGCTCCTGGGCCAGAGCCGCGCTTTGTTGTCGTTGAGGCTACTGGGAGGGAGGGGGAATCCGGCCGGGACTGCTGCGGGAGTCGGCCGAGACCTGACCCGCGGCGCGCGCCTTAACACCCACGCCCGCAGCCCCGCGGCGCCGAGCCGCGCAGGCGCGCGCGAGCACACACGCGCACTCACACACGCACGCACACCAGCACACCCGGCCCCCGCCCCAGCCCTCCCCTGGGCGGGGACCCGCCCGCCTGCCCGCCGTCAGCCTAGGTTGAGGCTCCCTGCGTGTGTCTATAACTTTGTGCTGCTGCCGCGGCCGCCCTGCTCGTGGAAGGGAGGAGGAGGAATGTGGAAGAAGGCGGCGCGCAGGCTGACAGGAGGTTCCTCGGGCGGGCTGCGGCGGCGGCCGGAGCGCTTCTCCTTCGCCGGGGTTGCGCGCCCCCTCTTCGCCGTACCCCGGGCCCGTGCGGGATTGTGCGTCCTCCCGCCTCGTCCCTGAAGGGAAGGAACCGAGGTAGGCGCCGGAGCTGTTAAGCGGGGCGGCCGCCTTCCCAGTGACTCCGGATCTGCTTCCGAGCTGGGCCAGGCGCTTCCCTTTTCCCTCCCCGTGACTCGGTGTGCGCGCCCCCCTTTTTCTCCCGCTAGTGTTTTTAAAGGACTTGAGGGAAGGGGGAAACTGTCAAGATGGCAGCAGCGGGAGCAAGGAGGTGATGAACGTGCTGGTCCGGGTTTTCTGGCAGCCCGGGAGACTTGGCGCTTCCCGACCTGTTGGAAGATTTATGTCCTGACTTGCTTCCACCACCTCCCGCCCCCCGTCTTGACTGGGAAGGGGACGGAGGGCGCAACGCCCTCCAGAAAATAAACCACACAACCCCCAAAGTGGTCATTCCTGCAGGGCTCGACCTTTTGCGAACACCCGCCAGGCTGCTTGCTCCCTTTTCGTCTCTTTCTTTTTTTGGAAGTGACAAGGACCCGTCTGCCCCCAGGTCCCTGTTCGCCCTCCTGGTTCTCGGGCGAAGAGGGGGAGAAGGAAGCTGCCCGTGCCATTCCCGGGCTCGAGCCACTGGGCTGGGAGGAGAGTGCAGGGGGGAGTAGTGGAGGCGGCAGGCCCGAGGAAAGGGAGAAGAGCCGAAGACGCCACTGACTTTGGCGGAGGTGTCGCGGGAGGTACTTGAGCGGGCTGGAGCGAAACATAAACAAACGCACGCCCGCCCTCCGACCACGGCTTGGCTGCGCCAGTTCGGGCCGCTGCCCACTTTAAAGGCGCGGCCGCCCCTCCCCCTTCCTCCCCGCCCAGCCACCTAGCGCAGGAGAGACCTGCAGATCTGGCGGCGGCCGCGGGGGAGGGGGCTGCCCCGCGCGAGGCCGTCGATTCGCTCGCGTCTCCCCAGCGGGCCTGGCCAGGGGGCGGCGTCTGTAGCGCCAGGTTCGCGGGACGCACGTTCCCAGGTCTGCCTATTCCTGGGAGGCGGGCGCGGTGCAATCGCAAGGCGGCGGCGGGCGAGGACTCGCGGAGCACTGGGCTCCAGCCCGGGATAACCAACTCTCTCTTCGTGCTTCTCCAGGCGGCAGCAGCGGCACCCCGGAGCCGAAGCCCGAGCCTTCGCGGCGCCCCCGTCCCTCCCCCGCCGCACCCCGCCCGGGAGCGAGAGGAGAGCGCGAGAGCCCGAGCCGCGGGCGGCGGGCAGGCGGCGAAGATGGCAGAGGCACCGGCCTCTCCGACCCCCCTCTCTCCGCTCGAAGTGGAGCTGGACCCGGAGTTCGAGCCTCAGAGCCGGCCACGCTCTTGTACGTGGCCCCTGCAGAGGCCGGAGCTCCAGGCGAGCCCGGCCAAGCCCTCGGGGGAGACGGCAGCCGACTCCATGATCCCTGAGGAGGAGGACGATGAAGACGACGAGGACAGTGGCGGTAGAGCCAGCTCGGCCATGGCGATCGGCGACGGCGGGACCGGCACGATGGGCCCCGGGCTGCTTCTGGAGGATTCGGCCCGGTTGCTGGTTCCGGGAGGGCAGGACCTCGGGTCCGGGCCAGCTCCCGCGGCAGGCGCGCTGAGCGGGGGCACGCAGACACCACTGCAGCCTCAGCAGCCACTGCCACCGCCGCAGCCCGGGGCGGCTGGGGCCTCTGGGCAGCCGAGGAAATGCTCCTCACGGCGGAACGCCTGGGGAAACCTGTCCTACGCCGACCTGATCACCCGCGCCATCCAGAGCTCCCCAGACAAACGGCTCACTTTGTCCCAGATCTACGAGTGGATGGTGCGCTGTGTGCCCTACTTCAAGGATAAGGGTGACAGCAATAGCTCTGCTGGCTGGAAGGTGCGTACCCACCTGGGGCTGGTGGCCAGATCCGCCCGGCCTCCTGCGCAGCGCCAGTCGTGCCTTGGATCCTTTCGATCCAGCCTACTTGTGGGCGCTGGGAGAGGGTTGGCAGGGGAGCCTCCATTGTGAGGCTTTGGGGGGGTTCTTTTTCACCCCTGGAGTGGAGAAGAGAACCCTAGGGAAGCCCTAGGGAAACCTTGGGTAAGGAACACTTGGGCAAGGGACACTGACGAGGGAAGGACAGATGGATAGGAGTGTATTTGCTGGATTACCGGACAGCAGCGAGGAGGTAGGTCCGCGGCCAACTTTGGAGTAGAGTTCACTCCAAAGTGTGGTGCTGGGAGGACAGTGGGTGGAGTGACTGGGCATGTCGGGGGCGTGTTTGGGACTTCGTGCAGGGGGAGGATGTGTGGTTTCCAGTTTGTCGCAACAGCGTGGTGCTAGCTAGCTGAATGAGAACCCTTGGGTTCAAGTTTTGGGCTTGTGGGTGTTAACTCACCCAGGCACATGGATCACATTTTTCTAGCAATAATTGCATACCTTTTCTGCTTCACTCTTGTGTTGATCCCTTTATTCTTCAGAGATGTTCCAGTAACCCTGCCCCTCCACCCATACTCCCCTCTAACCTCTGAAATGTTCTGGGGCATGGAACGGGCCAGCCTTGGCACCCAAACGTGGACTGGCTACACGGGCTGTCCTGTTAGAAGCGACATCAAGTGTTGGGGGACTTAGGGCCTGCACTTTGCCTAGGTGATTGGAAGAGAGTTTTGATTTCAGGGCTGGGCCAGGTCATAAGGGCTTCTACCTATAAAAGAACCTGTAGAGAGACTCTACTGTTCTTTTCAGCCTCTGGGGGCACGGGACACTGGTAGGGAAAGAGGTGTGGAAAGGCCTATGATGTAATGACTTCCTGCAGTTGGGCATCTGAAGAGATTAACTCCTTTGCCCCTGCTGGGCTGCTGATATCCAGAGCTGTGCTCTTCCCAGGCACCTCCCTGGCACTTTCTCCCAAGATAGGAATGTGTCAGAATCACCAGAAGAGAGTCCTGAAGGACTAGAGCTACACATCACTCATCAGTTGCTCCTGTTTGAAATTTAGTTATTTTTTTCAGTTGCTCCTATTCGCAATTTAGTTATTTTTTTTTCAGTTGCTCTTGTTTGCAATTTAGTTATTTATCTTTTAAAGGAAAGAGGTATTTGCTTCATCCTTCTGTCTCTTCTTCCTTCATTGTCATAGGGGAGCCTTGTGTCTTTTTCTAGGTGTATAAAATAATAGTTCACTCACTGGAATTGGATTACTGGAGAATTGGATTGAAGCAGTGAAGAGCCTGTATATAAAAAAGATAAATAATTTAGGAAACACTTTAATTTTCTTTTAGAATGCCTTGCAAACAAAAGTGCTTGCTTTTTTTAAAATAAATGCCTAGTGTTGGAGAGTGCATGTTTAGATACTTTCACAGCAAGATGTATGCTTTGATATCAGTCCACAAATCTGTCTCACTTTCAGATGATGCCAGTGCTGGCATTATGAATCTTATATCTGATCTGATTTTATTGCTTTCCAAAGGAATCCCACTTGTGTGATCTGAGGGCTGCCCACAGAATGGATGAGAGTTTGGTTTCAAAATATTGCTATGTGATAGCTTTTTTTGTGTGTGTTGGACTAGGTTTTGAATTCAGGGCCTTTGCCACTCAAGCACATCATCTCCATCTCTTTTTGCTTTATTTTTCAGATAGGGTCTCAAGCTTTTTGCCTATGCTGGTCTTAGACCAAGATTCTCCTGCCTGTCCTCCCAGGTTGCTAGAATTACAGGTGTGAATGCTTGCTGCTTTTTTTTTTTTTTTTTTTGATCTGTGCTGGCCTCAAACTTTGACCCTTTTATCTTTGCTTCTCATGTAGCTGGGATTATAGATGTGAGCCACTGAGCTTGGCATGTGATAGCTTTTAAACTGGGTTTCCAAGAGAATGGTTAATGTCAGTGAACAGTATTAGGAAGGGGTGAGTGTGTAGCATCTGAGAAAATGAATTTGGGGGTTTGGAATAGTTTTCAAATTTCTCACACTTGTAATTAAGTCCTGCATGTTTGAATTTGGTGCAGAGTTGAAAGTTACCTAACTTTTAGGTTAAAAAGTTAACATAGGGGGTTCACCTTTATTACAGTTTTTAAAATTGCAAAAGTAATTCCACAAGTAACGTTTCTTGTGTTTATAGTTAAGATGATAGCACTTTTATAAGTTTGATTTTTTTTTTTTTATGTTTATATGAGAAAGTGATGTTACCCAAAGTAGCCATGCATTGAGCCTGGGCTATATTTTTATATAGCTGGAGGATTAAAATACAAATTTGAAGGCCTAGTCATTGTTGGTTTTATATCATAGCCATTTTGTGTGTGTGTGTGTGTGTGTGTCTAATGCTTTTTCTTCCCCTACTATAATTTCTCTTCAAGTAGAACTTTATGAAACATTGCAAATTGAAATTCTCAAGATTTAATATGTTTAATACATGGCACATATTTAAAGATTATATTTTTACTTTAAAATATTTTGCCATTTCCATTTTTGAATATCATGTGGCAACTAATCCTCGAAGACAAAAGGGGTATAATTTAGTTGGAGTTCTTGTAAGATGACCATCAAAAGATGGAACCATGCATTAACTTCCAAATCTTTGATGATGGGGAAGGCCCTTTGAAACTGGGACTGGTTTCATATTCTGATTATGACTAATAGCCAGTGTTTTTTTATGTTGGTGGTTTAGTGGAGGTGGAAGAAGAGGGAAAAGGGAGAGGTCAGGAACTAATTGTGACCCATTGCCATGCATCCAAGTCGAGGAGTTGATTCCCATCACGATTAGTCATTTTGGAAGCATGCATATGCACTTAAAGCCACACTATTTTCATTCTGCATTAGGATTTTTAACTTCTAAAAATGTCTGCAATTCAAGTTAACCTCTCATAGACATTAGGGATATAAGGCACATATGTCAGGTCAAGGCCTTTTTTTGTAGTTTTGGGCCAGGGCATTATGAGATCCTATAACCAGAATTACCACTCAAAGCTCACAGAATAAAAAAGGCCTTGGAGATTGGAATTTAAATCAGTGGTTTTCAGTCCTGCTTGCGTATTAGAATTACCTAGGAACTTTTGAAAAATGCCAGTACCTAGAAAATCTGATTCAGTTGGGCTCATGTTTTGCTTATGAATGTTTTTTGTCTTTTTGTTTTAAAGTTCCTCAGGTGATCTTAATGTATAGCCAGGATGAAGTTTACTGACCAGGTTCAACCCTCGTATTTTGTTGGTGAAGAGCGCAATTCTTTAAGAAGTTAATGACCTTTCTAAGATCACACAGCTAGTTAGTAAAAAGGTAATTAGTAGCTGCAGTTCTGGAGGTCTTTGTTCTTTATCACACCATTTAAATTGACCTTAAAAAAATTCCTTTACCAAGTACTGGGTTGTCTTAAATAGGTAGAGGTTCCTCTCCTGAAAAGCAGATCTACCCCTCCCTCTAAATACACTTAGTTATTTTAGCACCAGAAGGATAGGCAAGTGTTGATGGAGGCTGAGTCAGTACATCATGTTTGTGTACCTGAACAGTACCTGTCAGTATGGCTGTTAGGAAGTATGAAGTGATACAAGTGGCAAGAAAGATAGCATTTTAACAAAAAGAGGAAGCCCCCTTCAACATACTGTTGTCAGATGCGTACTGTGCCAGGGAGAAGGATGATGGCTATCTCATGGGTTCCCTTACCTCAGGCATTAAAGTAGAAATGAATAATCAGATGTGGTTACAGTGGGAAAAGGTTACATTTCCTTTAATTCAGATCAAGTTTACTTGTAGTGCAACCATTATTGAACTAACGAGTTCTCTCAGTCCCCTTGTCTTGGGGACCTCTAAAGACTTACCAGGAGGGCCTGTTTATCACTTACTCCCCTGTAAGTACCCGCACACTTGCATTTCCTGTGGGTCAGGGCAGGATCGGATCAGGCAGTCACGTGTTTCTGTGGGGGGACTGTGTGAAGACTTCTGCTGCTTGCAGAGGCCAGATCTTGAAGAGTCCGAGTGTTCTTTCACGTGAGGATGTATGCTCATATGGCTTTTGCCAAGGCAAAAAAAATGAGGGCTGACCTGCCACATATTGCTTATTTATGTCCTTACTGTTCTTGCTTAGTTTAGTGTACCCAGCTCCTTTTCAGCATACTGTATTGAGGAAATAATATTTTAACTGCTACTTTGTTTTAAATTTTATTTTTAATGACAGTGCTATAACAATCCCAGGCTGGCTCATAATTCTGACCTCCTTCACCTTTTGGAGTAACTCAGCAAAGGGCTGTGTGCGAAGAATCTGTCTTCTGCTTGGCCCATGTTGCCAAGATGTTGTTTTGTAATTTCCTTTGGCAATACTGTCTTCGTCAGTGATTCTCAACTAATACACTTCCTCTTTCTGCAGCAGCAGTACACTAGGGGGACTGCTTTTCCTCTTTCTCAAAGCTGTGTCATTGACCTATAAAGTGAAGAAATGGGACCTTTTAGACTTTAATCTGTGAGCCCCAAGTAGCAGAGAGACTCCTCAGAAAAGATGCTAAGTGTGTGTTTTCATGTGTTTATCTCCTTCTTAGAAAATGAAATGAAACCATAGCAGACTTATTTTTAGGAGATTTTAGGAGGGTTCTATTTTAAGAAAATGACACCATAGAAGAACATCTTTTTTTTTTTCCCCTTTTATTTTTCTTTTTTAGAAGAACATCTTGAAGTTAAACTTTTTAGTACTTTGCTCATGATTCTTAAAACCTACCAGATATTTTTATTTGGAAAGTGGATGAAGAGGCCTTGTCTACTAAAAAGTCATTTACATGGCTGGAAAAAAACTTAGCAGATACCGTCCATCCAAAGCTCTTGATGACAATGCAAAGATAAGACTGTTTAGGCCTGTGCAATTCTGGTGAGTTCCCCACTCAGCCACTGCCAGTGCTTAAATTCCAGATTACTAGGACTGGAGA